GTAAGAGTGCCTCTTCCAAAATTGTGAATTTTATGGCCTCAGGGTCAAGGGCTCTGGTGTTAGGACGGGGCTCTAATGATTATATAATGAAAATGCATTAATTCTTTCAAAATCTTCTCCTCTGTTCCTGAGCAATAATTAAACTAAGTACATAGTTATGATGAATAAGAGTGCCTCTACAAAAATTGTGAATTTTATGGCCCCAGGGTCAGGGGGTTCTGGTGTTAGGGCAGGGCTCTATTGATTATATATTGAAAATGCATTATTATTTTTTTTGAAAATCTTCTCTCCTCCTGGGCATTAAATAAACTAATTTAGTTAAGTACATGTATAAAGTTATAATGCCTTAACCAAATTTGTGAATTTCACGGCCACTTTGTCAGAGGTTTTGCCATTCGGCGTAAGGGGGGGGGGGCTCTTTTGATTATGTAGTGAAAATACCTTACTTTTTTGAAAATCTTTTCCTTTGCTCCTGGGTATTATGCTAATGATCCAGGTATATATATTTTTGAGGAAAAAAGGTGCATCTAGCAAAATGGTAAATTTCATAGTCTGAAGATAAATTAATGCTTTGAAATCTGCTCCTTGGTATTAATCAACCATTTATGATAAAATAAATATGATAAAATTGTCAAAATTTTGAAATATGTGGCTCCAGGGTCAGTGCTTCCTTTGGGGTGGGGTGCACAACTAGTTATAAAGTGGAAGTGCATTTTCTCTTTGTTACTGTAATCTACCTCTGGGTATTAAAGAAAAAGAGTAAGCATGCTAAGTTTATAATTATGATAAGCAATAGTGCCTCTTTCAAAATTGTGAATTTCATGGCCTCTGGTTTAAAACACGAACTGAATTCAATTGTTGGAAAGTTGTTACATGATACTCTGGTGACCTATAAGGCCCGTGGGCCTCTTGTTTAATGAATGAGATTTCTATAAAAAAAATTGAACGAAAAGTACAGATGGATACTCAAGAGTCGAGTTAATATGTATTTTAGAGACAGTCGCAGGTACACGTGCCATTTTTCATGGTGTGCATGATTCATAAATATATCATACTTTACGACAATTTTTGTTGTTGATATGACTGTTATTTCAAAAATATTTCTTTTATATCTGATTCATATCGAGTTTTGGTTTTTAGTTTGATGTAAATTTTCCGTTCCCTTCCGTTTTCCATTCCGCGTTTTCGCGACACCCTAAAAAAGCGCAAGATCCTTAAATATGGAAATAACCCACAGTCCTAAAGCTAATTCCAGTCCATTGGAGCAATTCATTTTGGCAGAATAACAAACATGAACCTCTTAACAAGGTTGGACCTAATTATTTCTACATTTTTTCCACAACTTTTTTTTGTATTTCTGCCCTAAATATTTCTTCTTCAGTCAAGTAGATCAAAGTTATTGTAAAAAGTACCAAATTGAGAAATTTCGTAAAAAGTGACCGTCTAGGTTGGTCTAGGTCTTAATTACAAAATTTAATTTTTCGATGACCAGTACCTCTAAAATTGCCTACCGTTCACGATAGCCTAATGGTAGAGCGCTCGCTTCGTGATCGGGAGGCCCGGGTTCGATTCTCTTTCGCGGCGCCGCGTCAAACCTAAGACGTAAAGACGGGTAGTGATTGTACCTTCGCCAAGCGTTCGGCATCAAAAAGGAAAGTCACGGGTCTTTCTGATGTGACCGTAAATACGTAGGTCCTGTGTCACGGTAGGCGCTGGCACGATAGAGAACCCTCACTGCTCAATTGCATTGAGTGCCGAGTAATATTTGGTCTAAATTTGAAGCCCTTCATTGACATACGGTGAGTCTCCATATGAGTGAAAAATTCTCGACAGGGACATTAAACAATATTGTTCAATATTAATATTCTGTAGATATACATATAGGTGCAGATGAATTAACGGCGCAGATAAATTATTCGGTAAAAAGGCAATATTTAGCTTGCTAGTGTGCTTCTTTTGATGCCCTGTCATCAGTCTTTAGTAAATTATCCATGGGCTTCTTCCTCCTCCAAAATACAATCGATCTGAAGTCTTTGCTCCGTCTCTGTTTGTAGTATGAGGCACATGATCCTGGTGTTGCTGTACAGCTCTGGTGTTAGTGTCTGTGTTGGTTCGCTGGAGTCGTTGGGTGAGTTCTGATTCTGTTAAAATAGCAAAATTTAAATATTTCCATTTCTATTTGTTTTTTCTGTGATAACTGTTGAAAGTTAGTGAAGTTGACATCGTGGTAATTCTACTGGAATATAAATTAAGCAGATTGATAGGTCGGGAGCTAAGGAGGCCTAGTACGCATGTAAATTTCCTGCGCGTCTTTGTGTCTGATGCTAAGAAGGCCAAATATGCATGTAAATCTCGTGTGGCTGCTTTGTGTTTGACGTCAGTGGGCGAGGACTATTAGAATTGACAGAGTAATTTATATAAAATACATGGTTATTGCCTTGAAATATAACCGATGTTTGGCGAGGGTAAGAAAACGTGATACAAATTTTTCGTAGCCCAAATATCGCTTATATTTCAAGACAGTTATCATGTATTATGTTTATCCTGCAACAAATTTTTTACATTTGAACGTCCAAAACGAGATATTTTCGACAGATTTGGACACATCTCAGCAGTTGAAACTATGACGGCATGGCGTGTACGTGACGTCACAATGCATTTAGAAAGTCGAAATACATGCAAGAGGCTTTATTAGGGCAATGACCGAATAACGCTTTGGTTTATTAGGTAACTTTTATGAGGTCAATGCAAGGGGTAGTTGCAGGATAAAAGGTACTCCTATCCTCAGGTTCTGAAACTCGGGTATTGACTAATTGAAAATGCTCACAAAAATGTCTCCGATTTCTCAAAGTAACGTGTTTTTACCCACGATAATCCTTTAAACTTCATCTTTAAAGTTAATTATATTATACATGTACATGGAAAATATATAATTCTTAAAATAAATTTTCAGCAAATGAAAATTAAAAATCTATGCATTTTCCAATTTTAAATTTGATCAACAAACACATTTTAAAAATGAAACTCGTAGGTATCCAGGCTTAAGAAGAAATTGCACAATTTTTATAAATATAACGTACTTTCACTTCTTCTATTTACTTCGATCATTTTACAGTGCATACTGTATAAAGATTTTCCTTTCATTAATATAAAAAAACACCAAAAATCACTTCTAATTTCATATCACGCTAATAAGCATTGGTATTTTTGGGTATATCAAATAGAACCTCAATTTCTTGAAATATGTAATTTTATGTACTGTTATGAAGTAAAAATTTCGACTTTTTATTACACCTTTTTTGGAACTTCAAAGAACCTTGAAGCACGTTGAGAGGCTTAAAAAGAAAATCGTTGCATGAAAAGATTTAATTTTCAAGCTTCATCATTTTGAGACTTTTTGATTAAAGAGTTATCCTTCCTGGCGGATCGGAGTACCTTAATCTATTAGTACATTTTTAAAATCAAAATCTTCAATTTTATTCCACAATGAAATGGAAATACAAGGAATCACTGTTTAGTTAGTAGAGTATGTCAGGGACATCAACAATAGTGGGAAACGTGGGAAACGTGGGAACGGGCTTCGCCCGTTATGCAAATTATCCTGTTTCCCACTACCGTTGATGCCCTGGTATTCTATACTGGACAGTGATTCCTTAAATAAGCCTTTAATTTGAACCGCATTAAAATGTTTTCAAGCTAATGCAGTGCTATTTTAAAAGAAAATATACATATTCCATTGCTCCGAAGGAGTGGGGGTATACTGTTTTACCCTTGTGTGTCTGTCCGTCTGGTTGTCTGTCTGTCCGTCCCTTTGTCTGTCCGTAACAAACTTGTTCACAGTTTTCTCAACAACTACTCCTCTTAGCTGCTTGATATTTAAGCACATTCTTTGCTGAGGCATGCCATATGGTGGGATTTATTTCTGTTCAAATCCATCGTCAACTTCCTGTTTATCCGTGTGTCTGTCCGTAACATACATCACAAATTTTGTTGCAGTTTTCTCAGCAACTCCTTATCCTAGATGCTTGAAAATTTAGCACATTTTTTGCTGAGACATGTCACATGGTGGGATTAATTTTTTTTTTCAAATCCAGCGTCAACTTCCTGTTTATCCGTTTGTCTGTACGTATCATACATAAATTTTTGTCTAAGTTTTCTTGGCAACTTTTCATTGCAGATGCTTGAAATTTTTGTACATTCTTAGATGAGGCATGTCATTTTGTGGGATTCATTTTTGTTCAAATCCGATGTCACTTTCCTGTTTATCCGTGCGTCTGTCTGTACCACTTATAACAATTTTTTTGTCAGTTTTCTCAGCAATTACTTATTGCAGATGTTTGAAATTTTAGCACATACTTTGCTGAGGCATGCCATATGTTTGGTTCAATTTTTGTTCAAATCCGATGTCAACTTCCATGTTTTTCTTTGCATGTGCTCCTAACTGAACTTATGAATATTAACATGATAGTATATTTTCACATCAGAGCGGGGGTATTACCAGCTCACAGACTTTTTATTTATACATGTATACCTGAAAGGTGCCTGGGCATTTGAAGATTAATATTGTCTTAAATTTTCGATTTAATATCACGATATATATGCTGCTGTAGCATTCTACACGGAAACATAATAAACTTATTTCATATGGATTAATTATTCATCTGGATAAATTATTGAAAATATGAATTTTCGGTTGTGTTTGATTGACACATCCTTGCACTTTTATAAAAATACTTTGGTTGATATCAACACTTAAGGTCAAGATCTAGTACATGACTTTAGACCAATTTTTTCGTGCTAGTTCTATCATGACGTCATAATCAAATTTAACTTTAAATTCTTTTTCTCGTAGTTTACGGTTTTAGCAGAATTGTGTAGAAAATAAGGTATTTTCATGGCATTCAGATTGAAATCATATGAAAAGTAATCCCGATACCTATATAAATTTGTTATTATTTTTAAAAAAGGGCCAAAAACATACAAATTACCGTTTTCTGAGAGACTGTAGGCAATCTAGATACATTTCCTTACTCGAATATGGGGAAAAAACCTCACATATTCATTACTGAATTTCTTAATTTTTTTAATGGAAAATGAGTTTAAAGCATGCTTTTAGATTTTGTTAATTATAAATTATACCCTGGCGCACCTTAAGGAGGATTCTTCTCTAGTTTCTAACTAGATGAAATATTCGAAGTATATTTGCTTATAAGTCTTAAATATATAGGTTTAAGAGATTTAAACGACCATCCTTTTCTTTTCTTGTCACAATTGTACAACTTTAAATGGAAATAGTCAACTGAGTTTGAAAACTAGCAGGGACTATATTTTTGGCGAAATGGTGGTGTATGAAAATATCTTTTCTGCCTCAAAATTCTTAAATTAATTTAGTTATAAATTTTACATAATCAAAGACTTGAAAAAATTCAAATGTAAATTAAATTAATAGGAGGGGTCTAAAGTTTCAAAATATATCAAATAAATAAAATTTTTAAAACAAACTAGAACTACGTTAGCTTTTGAAAGCTTCCAATCTAAGTACATATTTGAGCCAAAAATCCGTAAAAAGTATTTTTTCTCTCTAAGTAAACAATCAATTTTTTTTGTGTTTTGTATCACTTTGTATCTTTCTGTGACAGCTTTACCATATGTGAAAATAAGAAAAAATTAAATATAAGATGCATATAAAAATAACTAATATATCCTGAAAATTTAAGAAAAATAGAGGAAATTCGGACTAGCCAATATCGATGTTATCTAAATCATGTTATGGGTCCTATATTCAACCTTTTGAAATGAAAGTAGGGATGGCATGGTTGACAACAGTATTTTTTATTCGATATATCCAGAGAAAAAGTAATGACCTTGACCTGACCTTGCCTCTAATATAAAACGGTCAAATTTAATCTCACTGATACCATCACTTAGTGACATTGTCTTCCTTCTGTGAAAATTTCATTAATTTTCAAATACCAGAAAAAGAATCCTACCTTTAGTTGCAACGCATCATTAAAGGAATTAATTTCTCAAATTTGATAAATCTGTAGGAATCATTCATTTATAAGATCTTGACCTTAATAAGATTATTATTTGAGATTTTTTGTTCCTGTTTTCAGTAAACTGTGAATTTAACCAAACTATGTGTAAGTGGACTGATTATGGTTTCAACGATGAAAACTATGTCCCAATATCAATGTCGGTCTGTGGTAGGAATGGAAACATCAGAGATTGTGGCAACTATGATTCTAGAAACTGGGCAAATTCATGGAGGATGGAAAATATCACAAACTACACATTTTATAATATTCCACCAGGTAAGGACACAACCTAAGGAGATGAAAGCGGGTAACAAGATAACAGAGCAAGATAAGATATGATAAGTGAAGGATATGGAGATTACGAACAGTATTCAATATATCAAAGTCCATCAACCAATACGAATAGGAGCAGAGCAAACACGGACCTCCAAAACAACAGAGGTGTGATCAGGTGCCATGGAGGTGTGAGCATCCCCTGACGACTGGTCACATCCGCCGTGTGCTTCTTGTCATGACCCGGAAATAACGGATAAATCTGTCGTCAATTAGTATGATAAACGTTAGTCAGCATTTGGCTCAAACATAAATTGTATTTATTGACAAGTGATTGTATCGACCTAAAACATAAGATAAGATAAGGAGATGTAAAAAGATAACGAGATAATTGAGGCGTATAAAAACAGAAAATAGGATAAAGAGATAAAGTAGCGACATAAGAAAGGATAACGAGGAAACATAACGCGATAACGTATAATAACGAAATGATATAGGATAAGATTAGATAGAATAACGAAATGATATAGATTGATTGATTGTATGTTGTTTAACGTCCCTCTCGAGAATTTTTCACTCATATACAAATTTTTGTCCTATGCTCGGCACTCAGGGCCTTTGAGCAGTGAGGGATCTTTTTCGTGCCAACACCTACTGCGACACGGGGCCTCGGTTTATACGGTCTCATCCGAAAGACCGGTATCCACGTCCCGCAGTGGGATTCGAACCCGCGACGTAAGGATTGATTCCTTATTTCGCGACTCTAGAGCAGACGCTCTAACCACTGCGCCACGCGGGCGACAAATGAGATAGAATAACGAGGTGAGATAGACTAAGGACATGAAAAGGGATAACGAGAAAAGGTATGCATACAAAAGTAAAAAACTCTAGAAATGAGCCAATTTATGTAATATATTATTTAGGAATGACTCCAATTCTTGGCCAGATTATTCTGATATAACCTGGTTAGAGTCAGTTTACGCTTTATAATCCGCGAAGCCACGTAAACTTATTCTATAAAAGCGTAAACTGACCCAAACCAGGTTACACTCGAATAATATGGCCAAGAATAAGAGTAATTCTTATGATTAAGTTTAAAAATCATAAACATCTGTGGGTGTAGAATTTTGTTGCTTTTTTTTTGCTTTGCCGGTCATAGCTGCAGAAATGTAGCTCTCTGCTTGAGAAAATTCAGACAGTTAAAGCAGAGAGCTACAGATCCAAGCGTTGTAAACTTTGATTTTCGCCGACGATTTTGTGTTGCTCACTTCGAGTTTTTTTCCTTGTATTTAATACTTTCCTCAGCTTTAAACATGGTGTATAATACTTCATTCTTCATTTCCTGATGATTTACTTACCATTCAACGCTATCAAATGGCTGTTTGTGGTTACGGACGTCGAAATGAAACTTTTTTAAACCGACATTATAAAACTATTCAAAGACTGTTTCGGACCGTTAAAAAGTAAATAAAGTATCAAAAAAAAAGAAAAAAGAGTTAGATATATGATTAAATATAGGATACTATTCTAAAAGCCACAGAATGCTTAAACTACACGAAATAAATACCTCAGGCAGCGACATAAAATCGTTGGCGTAAATCGAAGGGTTTTACAACGCTTAAATCTGTAGCTCTCTGCTTTATCTGTCCGAATTTTCTCAAGCAGAGAGCTGCAGCTATGCCGGTCAATAATACAATTGTAGTAACGGGAGTGACTGGAGACAAAGTGAAGTAAAAATACATAGATATAGCAGCCATGTTTTTTGTTTAAGATTTGTTTTAAGATTTTGGTAAGATCGAGCTACTGTTTGAAGTTAAAGATACATTTATTAAATCTGGAATTTTCCATGAATCCCATGGACTGGAACTGAGAGGATTGCATGGATACAGATGAATCCGCTGGTTGTTAGGGTTGTGTGTTCCCATGCCACACCAGGCTATATAGCAATAATTTGTCTTCCATTTTGGATATCAATCAATCAGAGGCTACATGTAGAATACATACAAAATTAAATCATTTCAAACAAATTTAAGAAATGAAATTAAAAATGCACTTTTTTATTTTTAAGACGTGGATGTGTATGGCAAAATGATGATTTTCGCGGACAACTTCGATAAAGGCCAAATCTATGCAGATCATTTTACTTTTAGCCTGATGTATTCACCTGGAATATCTGCCGACCCGACCCAAGCTCGTTGTCTGAAGTACAGATATTTATTAACAGCGAATGCTTCTCTCGTAGTTTCGTATCAGACAGACTTAAGCGTATTCGAACATGACATTCCATTAACAGGGCATTCTGGGAGCCAGGCCTTTAACTTAACTGACGGATATACCCAGTTGCCTTTCGTCAATAAATTCAGGGTACGTGATTGTGTAAATTATGTATACACTGTAGTACATATTTAAAATCAGGAAATCCATGTCTTTACAAGTTGTTGCATTTAGTGCTTGAAATCAGAAATTTACATATTATATATTATATAAATATAACCCTTTCATGAGGTCGATCCATACAAATATCGAATTCAAAGAAATACATAATTATCCACCAAGCAAGAAGTGCGAGATTGACCTCATGAATGGACATCATTTGTTATATTATTCATTAAAGAAATAAAACCATATTCGAAATTATTATTTTTCTCTTTTGATGCAAGCTACTAGTATCTGATTGACTCAGGCTAGATCATATGATAAGGTCTGTACATCTAAGGATTGACCTCATCAAAAAGCTATATTTGTATCTTAATATTAAGAAGAATTTTATAAAGGCATTTTTACATCCAATTATAACAGAACATCATAATTATAAAAAGAAGTTGAATGATTTTGTTCACAGAAACAATATGTTGCTAGTATATTAGTTATTAGTATTGAGAAGTCATCACTTTTTGAAAGAAAAGTTGTTTTTAGAAAACATTAAGCCATTGAGCTTTTCAGAATCAATGAATAGTAACACTAGTCTATATGCTTTTATATACTTCAACATGTGATCAAGTTTGAACCAGTCAAAGAACTTAGAATATTAAAGAAAAACTAATTGTATATTATATATAAGGATTACAAAATTTTACCATTTATAGCTCCTGAGGGGCATCTGAACATGTCAAAATTAAGGATTTTTTCCTGTATTTATGGAGTACTAAAAATGACAGACACAAAGGATTTACAGAAAAAACTATAGAAATATTTGTGAGATTCTCTACTTTCTATTAATGTTCAAGTTTTAAAAAAAGGTTTGACATTTTGACATTGTTTATGACCCCTTCAAGAACTTTTTAATAATATTTATCCTAACGCTACAAACATACCATTACGTTGTCTATCCACCTATCGGTTGAAAAAAAAAATAGTCGTTTTGAAAATTAATTACATCCAATTATTAGAAGGTATTTTAACCTGTACTTCTATTTAATGTTAAATAATAATTATTTTTTTGAAAAAAAAACTGCTTTAAAAGAATAAATACGCTTTATTTTACTTTGAAGTAATGAAAACGTCAGTTGGTCTCCTTAAATTAGAAATGTTATCTCTCAGTGGTGTATATGTTTATCAAGAAATATGTTCAAATCAAACGTGGTTAAAAAATTACGTAAATGTTTTAGGTGATATATAATGGATCAGCCCACTGTTTTTCAGATATTTTTCCGAGGTATTTTTATAGGAGCTGGTACGAGTGCTGCAATGCTGGATAAAGTTGAAATTTTACAAGGACTCTGTATCGGTAAGTTGAACATATGATGCTCATATTTTACAAAAAGGAAAGGTCCCCCGTTAATTATGATAAGGTAGATTTTTATGTTAACCCCCAACCCCACCCCTTTCTGTTGAAAATCATGCAAGTCTTTCAGAAAGGTCTGGGAACACATTTTTCACAGGACATGTTTTCAAAAGAAAAAGACTATAACAATTTCCTGTTTACAGCTAATTTTATTTTTAAAACAGGTTCCATCCTATAACCTTTAAATAGGTCAACCTAAACCACGTCTCTTGAATTTAAATCACAATAACAATAAAAGGGGTGTAGTTGTTATCTTCTGAAAAATATTAAACGTGTAGGATCTGTCCTACCACACACAATATTATACATGTAAGAGTGAGGACCACACACAATATTATACATGGAGGAATGGTCCTTCCACACACAATATTATACATGTAGTAGTAAGGACCACAGGAAATATTACACATGTAGCTGTCCTCCCACACACAATATTATACATGTAGGAGCTATTCTCCCACACACAATACATGTAGGAACTGTTCTCTCACACTCATTATATTATAAATGTAGAATTGTCCTCTCACACACAATATTATACATGTAGAAGTGAGGACCTCACACAATATTATACATGTAGAAGCTGTCCTCCCACACACAATATTATACATGTTGTAGTAAGGTGAGGACCACACAAAATATTATAAAAGTAGGGTTGTCCGCCCACACAAAACATTATACACGTAGAGTTATCCTCCCACACACAATATTATACATGTAGAGCTGTCCTCCCACACACAATATTATACATGTAGGAGCTGTCCTCCCACACACAATATTATACATGTAGGAATGGTCCTCACACACACAATATTATACATGTAGGAGCTGTCCTCCCACACACAATATTATACATGTAGAAATGGTCCTCCCACACACAATATTATACATGTAGGAGCTGTCCTCCCACACACAATATTATACATGTAGGAATGGTCCTCCCACACAAAACATTATACATGTAGGAGCTGTCCTCCCACACACAATATTATACATGTAGAAATGGTCCTCCCGCACGCAATATTATACATGTAGGAGCTGTCCTCCCACACACGATTTTATACGTGTAGCAGGGGTCCTCCCACACACAATATTATACATGTAGGAACTGTCCTCCTACAGACAATATTGTACGTGTAGAAATGGTCTTCACACACACAATATTATACATGTAGAAATCGTCCTCCCTGACACAATATTCTGCATGAAGTTGTCCTCCCACACACAATATTATACATGTAGAAATGGTCCTCCCCCCCACAATATTATACATGTAGGAGCTGTCCTCCCACACACAATATTATACATGTAGGAATGGTCCCCCACACACAATATATTACATGTAGGAGCTGTCCTCCCACACACAATATTATACATGTAGGATCTGTCCTCCAACTCACAATATTCAATAAAGATTCTACACATGCATTCGTGAAGAAGTACAAATTTAGGACAAGAATACTTATCTTTTCCTCAAATAAAATGGTTTTATTATACACGAGGAAGACAAAAATATAACTACATGTATATATAATAAAAGCATTAGGGAGAAAATCCTCATTATAAATTTTTTTAACTTCTGATTTTCAGTGCAAAAGTTAGCATAAAACTTTTTCCTTATGACAACAATTTAATGTGTAAAAAATATTTTTTTCATAGATGCATGTCCAGAGAACTTTTTCCAGTGTGATAGCTCTGAGTGCATACACACTGAACAAATGTGTGATGGACAAATCGATTGCTCTGATGGTAGTGACGAAACATTTTGTGGTAAGTACCATCTACCAATCAGAATGTCTCAGATAAGTACATGTACCATCCACCAAACAGATTTAATGCAGAATGTCTCAGACTTTAGTAAGGCACGCACTGTAATTTACAATTGGGCCCGAGAATATTCCCTATTAATTTTTTGACAAGCAAAATCAAAATATTTTATTAAAGGGGGCAAAACTACATGTAAAACTTAGCATTGTTCTTTACAGTACACTGGCGAAACAAAGTACATCACAGGCACCTGACGTTACATATTATTCTCTTCATCAGAAAAAATATACATGTACCCCCTACCTAATGATAAACAAGGTACACATCGGGCGCCATGTTGAATTTTTTTAGGTCGGTCACATCCCCTTGGCACGCAAAAGATCGTTTCTCTGGAGTTCATGTACCATCCACCAAAAGAGTAGGCTCACTAGGGGGCCGCCTGTAAGAAACCAAAAATTTTTTACAAGCAAAATCAATTAACCTAATAGGAATAGTCCGCCGAAATATGGCTGAAAAATTGCCGACTCGGCGTTAAACAATATACAATCAATCAATCAATCTTCTGAAACTGTGTAAAATGAATTCCCTGCAACCATATATTTTCTTTGGCCAGTCGAAACATACAGACAATGAATCCAGAAGGGCGCATCACACTTGCAAATATTAAAAATTTCTCGTCAAACTCGACCTACTGCTTCATCAATTCGGGAAATGGTTAAAGGGGTCTGAATTTTGTGTACCTTGTTTGTTGTTTTGGTAGGGGGTATATATATTTTTTTTATTAAAAGAAAAAAAAAGAAAGATATGGAGATAACGAACAGTATTCAATCTCAAAGTCAATAAAAACAATACAAAACAGGAGCAGAGGAAACACGGACCTCCAAAACATCAGAGGTGGGATCACTTGCCATGGAGGATTGAGCATCCGCTGCTGACCGGGCATACCCGCCGTGTGCTCCTAGTCACGATATGGAAATAACGAAAAAATCCGTCGTCAGTTCAGTGTATAGATAATGGACTCAGTCAGCATTTGACTCAATGATAAGTTGTATTTGCTGACAAGGTCATTGTATCGACCATAGAACTTACGAAATGATGACTATAAACGAGATTGTTGATATTCTTGTTTCATCAACTTGCTTGTCAATAATTTACCTCGTTTTAGAAATTGTTCATACGTATACGTAAAGCATGCTCTTGCGTATAGAATCAACCGAGATATATAGACTCCGTATGCAGGCGATGAAGGTATATTGCTGTATGAGTAAGGGAAGTTAAAGTCATCATGTTTATCATATAGCTTGGTTGTTAGATTACCATTAACGTCAGGTGCCTGTGCAGTACATATGTCAAATGTTTGAAAAGTGAAGAACATTGTATGAGAGATTTATCTGATAACAATAATGTCTATGTCATTTACAGATGAACACCCTGCCATTCATTGTAGAAACGTGTTATTTCCTAGAAACACCTCCACTCTCACTACACGGACAAAAGAAGATTCCCAGGTTATGCAATTTATTTCAGATTGTATTAAAGATATCAATTTAACTTCATCCGAAGCAAATGATTCTGTGGATTGCAATCTGCATAACACAGTCACATGTTACAATTTTTGTCCTACTGGGTGCAACTGTATCGGCGAAAGCTACATCTGTGTCAGAGATCGTTGCCCTGGTTTCACAGAGAGAATCGTTTTGAATAACATTAAATGTTCGAGTCTCGTTTTCGATGAAAGATCGAGCCAATACTTTGTGAAAAGCAAACATATTTTTAAACTTGAAATTTATACTTCAGTTATTGAAAATCTAACAATATTAACTAATGGATATCTTTCTCTGCATAGAATCGTCATTAAACATAGCGCCTTCTTAAGAATAAAAATAAATCCGAATTGGTTGTCCACATCTAGTAAAATACTGCAATCTTTCCATTTCTATAACTCTACCGTCTCTGATGTTGAGTACGACATGCAAACCTTGAAAATACATCTACATGTAGCGGTCAGTTCGACGTCTCACATGTCCAAAGCTATTTTCACTTTTAAACCTGAAATTTGTGATATTTCTGGCAACCGTCTTATGGACTTCTCTAAAACAGATCTACACTGCAGAGACTTGGTGAATGCGAGTCATAACGAGTTCACAGACATGATTGATACAAGTACCCGGATATTAGATGTAAGCCATAACAAGCTCACCAGATACAGTCGCCCTTTTAAATTTTTGAATGCACTCTACCTGAATAACAACCAACTTTTGTCGACAAGAAACAGTTTAAATTACAGAGAACGTGAAGGCGATAGCCTACAGATACTGGATTTGTCCTACAACAACATCTCAATCATCAATGCTGGAGACCTCATCGCGATTAAACTGATATATCTCAACCTCTCCAGAAACCAAATCAGAATGGTACACCCTGACGCTTTTCTTCAGTCCAACAACCTGTTCTCACTTGATTTGTCTCATAATAATATCATCCAAATCTACAACGGAACCTTCTCACCACTCGGTAAATTAGAAGAACTGTACTTACAAGGAAATACATTCCAGGTCACTATTAATTTATTGAAAGGTCTCTTTAGTTTACGGATTTTACAAGTCAGCTTTTATACAATATGCTGTGCCAAAACTAACAGCATTTACAAAGTTGAATGCCTTGCTCCCGTGAATGAAATTTCGTCTTGTGAAAACATGATTGCAAATCCTGTTCTCAGCGCTTTTGTATGGTACATTGCATTATTGGCAGTTTTTGGAAATATGATCGTTTTTCTTTATTTTGTCAGTTATCCCAAAAGCGATGAAATCGGGGTGCATGACATCTTTGGAACGAATTTAACTTGTGCTGACTTTCTGATGGGTGTTTACTTGTACATTATTGCTATCACAAATCTACATTACACGGGGCAGTACGGCTTGAATGACTTCGTCTGGAAACATAGCGCTGCTTGTACGCTTTCTGGAATAACTGCCACCTTGTCAAGGGAAGTCTCTGTCTTTATTTGTTTGTTAATCACACTTGAAAAATTGGTTGCTGTCAACTATCCATCATCTCATTTGAAACCATCGATAAAAAGAGTCTCTATGTTATTGCTTGTTGCCTGGGTGGTCTCGCTTTTCCTTGCTTTGATTCCTTTAAATCCGGACCCTAATCTTGAAAACTTCTACGCTCAATCTGGCATCTGCGTTTCCTTTCCGCTGTCCGTTACACGGAAGACTGGATGGCAGTACTCCATGATCGTGTATGTCGGAATCAACTTCCTTCTTTTTCTTGGCATTCTGATTGGACAGATTGCAATTCTTGTTAAAGTTTTCAGCAATAGGAAGAATGTGCAGTCAGACAAAACTCTCCCGAGGGAAGCCTCTTTGGCTAAGACTATGTCTGCCATCGTTCTAACTGATGGATTCTGTTGGCTTTCTATAGGGACGATAGGTAAGCTATATATAAGACATTTTTTCCTTCAAATACAGATAAATTGTGACAGCATTCTATAACCTAACAAAAAATACTAAAGTTAACTATAGTTAAAAATAGTTTACTATAGTTAACTAAAGTAAATCAAAATGTCAAAGTCATCACTAAAGTAAATCAAAGTTTTCAAAGTGATCGCTGCAGTGTCATGCATAATTATCACAAAAGGAAATCAATTTTTTTACCAAACCATAGTGATCACTATGGTAAATCAAAGTTTTCATATTTATTACTTTAGAAAATCAAAGTGAAAGAGTTATCACTAAATCAGTTTTAATCGTGTCAAAAGTATCACTAAAATTCACTATGGTATTTTTTTGTTCAGGTTTATTACAAATTGCCGCCATTATATTTAGTCACGAGTTCAGTAAAAATAAAGCCATACTTAAGTCTTGCTTGATGAAAATCTGAAATCATCTTATGAACTACTACATCGTATCAAACATGAAAGCAACATAACATACCTAAGTAAAATTCAGGACATTAATCACGTGCTCAGTTTACTGGAAACTAAAGTTATGCTTGTTGCTCCTTCGTACACCTGAAATCATTTTATGAAGTAATACATCGTAATTCAGGACATATTCTGGTATTTTGAACTCATCAAAACACCCTTCGTTTATACATCTTGTGAATTTATTATTTTTTACCATTCTCAATTTATCACCTATGTTAAATTGGCGCTTCCTTAACACGATCCAGGAACTGTTCTCAGCATTTATTCACAGTCTGGTCCTTCCCAGCATGGCCATATTAAATAATGATCTCTCGACTGTTTGTCCCCTCAACACGTGTACAGCTTCTTTCTTTAGTTCTGTAACATGCAATAATATACATTTATTGACTGAGTTCGAGGGCAACATGCGTTTTGTCGGACCCAAGAACCAAACTGTCTGCCTGAGGCCGTTAGGCACTAGATAGACAGTTTGGTTCGAGGGTCCGACAAAAAGTACTTTGCCCGAGAACTTTGTCAATAAATGTTTTGTTATACCTTTTAATTTTAATCTATTTTATTTTTTTTTTTACATGCATGCATTTATACTGTATTCCCTGATGTAACATCAGGTCTGTCACTGTTTAACACCAACGAATGAAAATGAGATTAAGCTCCGCCCATTCTGTGACGTAAGCGGTCCAACATCTCACTCAGCGGTCCAACATCGATTGTTTTATGCCCGCTCAGCAAAACATTCAAAATGTCAGACTTTTTTCGTATAGAATTGTATAGGAACACATTTTTAAAGGTATAACAATTGGTTTTCACTTCAAGGACAATGCATTTATGTTATGATAATGAACATTTTAATATGATGGGTCTCTGTTACACAGGGTTGCTGACGTTTTTGGGGATTGAGGTACAGTCAGATGTTTATGCCTGGGTGATACTTGTCGTACTGCCGATAAACTCCGCCATTAACCCTATATTGTATTTGTGGACTGCATTCAAGGTCAGGCTAATCATATTTTGGTTCGTTCATAATTTTTAGCTCTACTGGTCAGAAACCAGAAGAGCTTATGCGATAGTAATGCGTCCGGCGTCCGTCCGTCTGTCTGTCTGTCTGTAAACAATTTTTCAAAATGCTACTTCTCCTACCGTTTTGGTCTAATTTCAATATAACTTGTCACACAAGTAGACTACACTAAGATACATAATTCTGCGTATCGGTTTTTGATTTCGATGAACGTTGTTGCCGTGGTAACTAAAAATAGAAATTTCTGTGAAATTCCTTTAAAATGCTACTCCTCCTACAATTTTGGTCTGATTTCAATATAACTTGGCACACAAGTAGACTACACCAAGATACATAATTCTGTTTATCAGTTTTTGATTTCAATAAACGGTGTTGCCATGGTAACTAAAAATAGAAATTTCTGTGAAATTCTTTCAAAATGCTACTCCTCCTACAGTTTTGGTCTGATTTAAATATAACTTGGCACACAAATAGAATACACTAAGATACATAATTCTTTTTATCGGTTCTTGATTTCGATGAACGTTGTTGCCATGGTTACTAAAAAATAGAAATTTTTGTAAAATTGTTTCAAAATGCTACTTCTTCAACAGTTTTGGTCTTATTTCAATATAACTTGGCACATAAGTAGACTACACTAAGATCCATTATTCTGTATATCGGTTTTTGATTTCGATGAATGGTATTGCCGTGGTTACTAAAAATAGAAATGTCTGTGAAATTCTTTCAAAATGCTACTCCTCCTACAGTTTTGGTCTGATTTCAATATAACTTGCCACACAAGTAGACTACTCTAAGAACATAAAGATACTTTATCAAGAATCGTTATTCTATTTATTGCTGTTGTTAAGTTTCAATTCCCAACTGCTTAAGTACTTTTCCTTTGCTACAAGTATAAACCAGTAGAGCTTCAGTCTCGACAGAGACTTCTGGTTTAATTTGGTTGAATATCTGTCTGTCTGTTTCCTTGGTTAAATTTTATTTCACATTCAACTTATAAATTTTATTTTCGTTTTCTGTGCAAAGCAAATAACCATTTAACTGTTGAATACGGTACTACACCAATTTCTTGTCCGAGATTTGTTTGATGTACAGTGAAACCTGTCTAATCTGACATACACTAGAAACAAAATGTTATATTTGCATATCCACTTCTTTCTCCCACTATAAACCCCAAGCATCAATTGCATTTATATTCCTATAACAGACTAGGCCTGTATCACAAAAACTCTTTCATAAATATGAGGAGTTATAAACGGCCATCTTCAAGACATCAATTGAAAGATTGATATTGTACGCGATAAAGAGATTAAAATGGCCAACCGGGCACTGGATGGCTGCTAAAGGAGAGGATGAGATCCGGAACTTCTCTCCCTACTAACCACAAAGAGATCATTGAGTCTGGGGATCAGCAAAAAATTTCACTTACTTAAAAAAAGTTCATCTTCTCCTGTTATTCTTCGACACGCTGTCTGGTTCCTCACTTCAATTCATTTCCTCTCAAGGGGGCTGGAATTCCACTTTCAACTTCAAATGAACTCCTTTGATATCAAAAATGATGAAAATGGCGATTATGTTACTTTGTCTCATGACACACAACAAAAAAACTTCCAAGGTGGAATCAAGAGTTTGGAAGCCCCATCCGATAAAAGGCTGATGGAACGGAGTGCTGTCCTGTCAAAATGTTAAAATTATTACTGAAAAAGTCTCCAACTGATGCCAAATCTCTCTTTAACCAGTATGACAAAGCGGCCCTCTCAAATCCGGAAAATGATATTTGGTTTACTTCAAAGCCATTGTCAAAACGATGTAAAAATGCTGGAGTTGAGAAGAAATATACGCCCCACTGCATCCGCGCCACCACTATACAATATCTTAATGATTCCGGATGGGAAGCACGACATATGTTTCTATCTGGCCACCGAAATGAATCATCATTAAGATCCTACAACAGGACTGTGTCAACTACTCAAAAAAGGGCCCTAAGCACTACATTGTCCTCGCTTAAAGTGTCACATTCACAAACCTCGTCAACAGCGTCCGATGTCCGAAATCATGCATTAGTTCCAAGCCCACCAGTTCAAAATGAATTAATTCCCGTTCAGGCTGTTGAAAACACCACCACCTCATCTGCAGCCCAATTATCCTACCAGCTGTCTCTTAATTCTGTCACGCAAACTCCTGGATTCTTTGCTAACTCCACATTTAACAATTGCAACTTTCATCTCAAATGAACCACAATCATGTGAAACCAACTCGCGCAGTCATGCGCAGATAATAGCGCATAAAATATAGTTCCCGTTTAACATTTAATCTTCTATATAAAATCGTTTATATGAAGTTTAAAGGAATAACTGTTAATATACATACTTACGTTTATAATCTTCACAGTCTTAATGTGTTGAAAATTAAAATAATACACAGTCTGAAAACGTTTTATTTTTATGCAATATCTCAATGTCAAGGTCTGTGACAGGGGAGCCACAAGGGGTAAAATGCAAATATAAGTAATAAACAACGATTATTCAGTGAACATGGCGTTATGAATAGCAACTGCTCTGCTGGCATATTTTCCATGATGCGCTAGCGCGCATCATGGAATATGCCAGCAGAGCAATTGCTATTTATAACGCCATGTTCACTGAATAACGTTGTTTATTTCTTAAGTGTCGGAATAGACAGGGTGTCGGATTGCGTATTGTGAAGAAGTATATATTGCATAGCCCCTAAAAATGATCAAATTCTCTTCTTAAATTATATAACTACATTGCAAAGTCTACAATCAATGAAACTGAATGTACCAACTATTCTGCAGATTGAAATTGCATAATGTTCTTAATAGAAAAAAAAGCTACATCTCTAAAGTATCCGTATATTACTATATACCTTTTAGCCCTCTTACACTTGATTACAATTTTGCCCTGTTTAAATTCATCCAGTCACAGTTCTGTTTGAGAATTTGTACTGTGTTCTTTGAATTTGCTTCCTTTTAAATTTTCCCAAGTTGTGACAAGGGCGATAATTAAAGGGGCTAAAAAGTATATATGGGTTGCTTGCTCCTGAATGGCAACTGACACCAACTCTGTAGTGTTTAAACGTCACTGATAGTTTTGCTGCTGTATTGTTTTAAAATGTGATGATTTTTGTACTATTTTTGGTTTAAACCAGTGTAGCTAGTTTCATTTTCTCCCTCACTTTATCAGTAAAATATTCTGCTCTGTTTAGAGAGGAGGAGGAGACAGGAACCCGCAAAAGAAAAAACTGATAGCGTCAGCAAAGGTAGATATTTCTCATATAAAAATAAAAAAAAAATTAAAATGTAATCGCATACAATGAAAAGCCTTGGAACAGTGTCCGTGGGTAGGGAAGGGGTTGAGGGCAAGGCAAAAGTTTTTTCTCCACATAATTGAATACAATGTATTGCATCTTAATTTTTCGAGCCTGTCTGTCATTTTTTCCAATTCCTCCTTGAAAATTTTGATAAAGTTGCTTTAACATCAATAAGCTTGTTGATCATTTTTGGGAGATTTTCTCTCTCATCGCACGCGGCACTATTTGGCCGTGTCCATGGAGGGCTGCAATTTTCAATCTTTACTCTGTACTTAGAGATCTTTCAATAATGAGATTTTTTTCGTGTCCACATCTGCGACACGTGAGCTTTGTTTATAGAGTCTCGTCAGTAGGACTGTCTCGACATTCCGCCCTAGGATTCGAACCCACTAAGAAGGGAGCAACTCCGCGACTCGACAGCAATAGCTTTAATACTAAGTCATGGGCGACAACTTTAGTGCTCAAATATAAGCATATGGTTTTTTTCAAAGTGTTTGGTCTTATTTATCTCTTGAATATCTTTTTTAACTAGTGGAGGGCTTATAACTCCAATCAGAGAACTATCCAAACTGTGTCAGGTCCTGTAGCTCAAAAGCAGGAAATGGAAAAGAAATTGATTTGTACAAAACAAGAAGCGACCGGGCCACACCAGAAAAGAATAGAGGCACTACTGAAAAGGATGGAGACACAAGAGGAAGAGATCATAGCACAACAAAAAGGGATTGGGATGCAAGACGAAGGGATCAGAGCAGAACAAAAAGGGACTGGGACAAAAGAAAATGAATCTTTATAGGAAAGAGCATGAAAAAAATGAGTCAAAACCTTGAGTCCTTATGACTCAACTATACTCCCCACGTGAAATATTTTTGCACAAAAGAGACGACAATACAGAGTATTTATAATGATGTTTTGTTGCAATTTAAGTCCACTTTGCAAGTTTAAAAAAAAATGATTTTCGTAGCTCTTTGTAAGCGTTGATATTGTGTTAGTTTACGTCTTGGTCAGAACTTTGAACGCTCGCAGCGATGTATTCGTTGAGGATCCTGTGTCCCTAACAATAACATTTTATTCTACACTTAAAATATATTCTGCTATTTTTTTGCCAGAATTAAATAAACAGTTTAATAGTGTTTGTTAATTTATGTACAATGAGGAGTTATACATACTCTTTTTCTGCTTCTAGTTTGCTTGTTGTTTCTTCATGATCAATATATATATCTTGTGGTTTGTATTAGAATAAATGCAATGTCACGAAACACCTTTTGACTGATCCTTGATTTTTTTTGTCCATAACGTCAAGTTTACCGGTAGGATATATTGGTCATGTAAGTTAGGAACCTGATCATTATGGCGTTGTTACAGTGGAACGTCATGCTGTAGGTAGTTTATCAACCAAGCCGAATATAGGACCCATCGCACCAATTGTACCAAAATAAATAGTCAACGACATATCGAAAAACCAACTCATTTTTTTTTATGGCAAAGTGCCTTTTGTTGAGTTCTCGAACTAATGTCTTAGGGAAACAAAAGAAACGTTTCTGGATCTGACAAAATATTGAATTTGAACCCAGACATGTTATGTTTGATGTTAAAATGGCTTTAGAAGCCTAAAAATGAAAGCATCTCAAATCAAGTTTTAAAAAAAA